AAACGAATCACCGTATCGGATTCGTCGAAGAGAAGAATAAATTATATGTCCCATTCACGAGCATCTTCGACGAATCGCTGTTTCAGTTGACGATGAACGACTTCAGTGTGCATCGAATAATCGGCAGAGGTGGTTTCGGAGAAGTTTATGGCTGTCGGAAAGCGGACACGGGGAAAATGTACGCTATGAAGAGCCTCGACAAGAAACGGATAAAAATGAAACAGGGGGAAACGTTGTCCCTCAACGAGAGGATAATGCTTTCAGCAGTCAGCACAGGGGTAAGCTGATTTGATTATAATGTTCGGTAATATTTAAAATATGCTCACAGAGTGCGTAATATGTGTTATATGTATAATTAGTAAGGCAAATTCCCCGATGAAGATTACATACAAAATACACTCGTAATTCTGGAACAGTCGTTAACAACGTTCACATTGTTAAAGTGGCCATCAAAATCGTCGACTGGTCACATTTAGCAATATTAATGGAACAATGTTTGCGCAATAGTATTAGAAAATACTAAAATATAATGCAGAGCGACGAATTTGCTGAAGAGAGTTCCTTATTAGTCTAGAAATGTTCGAAGGTTTCTTCTAATAATTTTTCGATTTTATAATCCTGAAACGTGAAATAGGAGGGAAAATTAATGTCAATATGAATCACTTTTACTCAAATAAGTATAACTAGCTCGTGCTGTGTACGGAAGACAGCATGTTGATGGTTGTTGCCCTCTTTCAGCATGCGCCAGGTGATACCGAGCATCCGAGTTGTGCAATAAAATACACTTATCTTGGCTATGTACACCCGATTACACTGATAAAAATTATTCGCTATGTTCGAAAATGATATTTTATCACGTTCTCGTAATTTCTGACCGTCCCTTTTCGCGTTCTATCCGTCGTCGATTCGTCTTTTTTCTTTTTTTCGTCATTGGTTAAGGCGGTAGATTTTGGTAGATGAATGTAGCGATTTGCGCTTGGACGTGGGTGTGTCGAAATGAGCTTAGATCAAGGAGCGGTGAACACTTCAGGAAGTTCTTTTAGTATTGTCCTCAGTCATCAATGGCGTGATTTATAATTGTATGCCTGTTCGTTGCTTCTCGATGGGTCTGACGCACGTGTTGTCCATCTGCCGGGATCGAAATTACCGGAGCGAGGCGGTAATAAAATAATCGGCCAGTTCGGACCCACACGAATTGCTTGCCTTCTGTAACAGCTTTTGTAGGTGTATCGCCTAATCCGCTGGAAGAACGATGCGGTACGCGTAACTTCCGGTGCTGCCGTCGCAAAACACGTGCGATATTTTTTATTGTTGGTGGAACATGTTTTACGTTCTATGAAATACCTTTCTACCAAGGATAGATCATTTTAATGTTGATGAAAATGGGGAGGGGGGGGGGGCAGATTCATTTGCTAATGGAAAAACGTTTCCGGAAACAGAATGAGGCGTTACACGTGTAACAGCGAGAAACAAATACAAACATGAGAACAAGAACTACCATGTCACAAAGATGGTCATTTGTGAATTTAAACATGTCCGTCTATATATATGATGTACAGTAAAGATGTACAATAAAATATGTAAAGTTCTCTTTTCTATTGTTACTAGTCCAATATTGAAGTGTATCTTTGATTTGGCACTGTGTGGATTTGAGAATCCATTTCCAATCCAGGAAAAATTCTAGGTAAACAATAATACAACATTCTAGTTAGACAATGTAAAAATTCTAGATAAATAATAAAAAAAAAACTACTTACATGAAACTACATGAAATCGATAGAAAAATGAGAAACATTTAAAATTCAATAGTCCTTTAATTAAAGTATTCTGTTGCCTCCTTAGTGTCGCGTTCTGCTGATCCTTTAGCATCACGTTTTATCCCCGCCTTCTTGTGACGCATCTAGCTTCAGCGACGAGCATCCAATAAGAACAAAGACAATTGTAGCCACTATTCAAGACTACTCTGTCGTGATCCCCGTATACCAAAGTACGTTAAAGGAGCTTTCGAGTGTCCCCATCATTTTCAAATTATAATTTCATGTAATATATTGACCGCGGGCTTGTTTAAAAAAATCCGGCAAATATTTATAACTTTGTTGGTGAGTGAAACAACCCACTTACTGTACATTTATCAAGTTCTGTGTTATTTTTGAAGAAACTGCTCGACTCTTGATATACAATGCTCTCGCCAAATGTGTGAAAACTGATTATTTGAAAAATATTGGGGTAAAAAAATATTGGTAGAGGTTTTGTTATGAAAATAAAACGTCGCCGGGGTGCAAACTTTTTGGCCTAGTCGAATTTTTTACTCTGTCACATCAAGAAACTCGAGAGTCAAGTTTTATTTTAAAAAATATGATACAACCATTTCTGAGGTATACAAGTGATTTTCTGTTTAACATTTTATTCCTCTGCAAAGACTACATTTTTCTTTAAACAAACGAACTCCCGGGCGTAGAGTTTTTATTAATTTCTCTTTCTTATTTTATATTTTTATGTAGAAAAACTGTCTCGCTATTTTGACAAAATATCTTAACACCTTTTCAATTTATGCGAGAGAAAAAATACTGAAATTTTAATACAGGCTTAGCACACTCGGGCATGGAGAAATGTGTTCGATTGGTTAAAGTCACGAATGTCTTAAGATAGACAATCATTGTTTGTTTTTATACATCTACTTTTAGTGATGAGGTATTTCTGACGCACACACGAAATCTGTTTTACTATTTAGTAAGTTGGGGCTTTATCTTCGACAAATTAACGATCGAAAATTCGAGCTGCGATTCGACCGTGGATTAAAAATCTACATATTTCTTCGAGCCCCGCATTTTTGCAACTCATACAAAAGATATAACTTTTCCGCTCGAGATTATTTAGAAAATTGAATTTCTTGTTTACTCTGGCGCGCGTGCTGTTGATTAGCTATAAACTGGCGTGTCTGTGCATGAATAACCGTTTCTACTTCTATGTTATCACTCGGTGAATTTTCAAATACAATTTTTTCGCAAATGCGATCTTAAACAAAATAATTGTATGTTTGATTTCGTTTTAATCGCCTCCAAAATGTTCTGGTAGTATTAATTACCGAAACATTTCGATTTTGGACAATTGTGTAATGTTTCTTTTTTTACTGCTTCTCTAACTGCTACAAATATTTCGGTCAGCTTCATTAAAAAGTGACCAGAAAACCAATGCTTTAATAAAAACGCAAACAATACTGCAGATAAATTGTTGTCAGATCTATGATAAAAGAATTTTTCTCTCTTCCTCGTATTATCTTTTATGATGAATCAATATATTTGAAATGAAATATCATAATCATGATTTTATAATTCAATTCGAAGAGTTAATTCGTGATAATTTAATTTAACTTCGAAATGTGCGATATCCTTGTTATGATCGATTTTCTCATAAATCTGGTTGACTCCTCGCGAGCTTAATTCAATTTATGACATGCTCGTCGTATATTTTAATATTGGATATAATACACGCGGCAACATAATCTTCTGGCTCAGAATGATATTTCCGACCCTAGGAACGCTTACGCATGTTTAATGTCAATCAGTACTCAAACGGTTCATGATAATACTGACAATTACTGATTGCAATTATAACTGGAAAACATCGTGGCAACAGCTTGTCATACTCTCGCTGTAGTTTTCTATTTACAATATCGAACTGCTGCGAAAACAACATGTACGATACTTATCACACGTGCCTTTTTTATTACAATTACGATTAATCTTTCAGGTGGATTGTCCATTTATAGTGTGCATGACGTACGCCTTCCAAACGCCAGACAAACTGTGCTTCATTTTGGACCTGATGAACGGCGGCGATCTTCACTATCATATTGGCCAACATGGTGTGTTCAACGAGAGGGAGATGAAGTTTTACGCAACTGAAGTGATATTAGGATTAGAACACATGCACCGTAGATACATCGTGTACCGGGACTTAAAGCCTGCGAACATTCTTCTAGACAAGCATGGTCATGTAAGAATATCGGATTTGGGTTTGGCCTATGATTTCTCGAAGAAGAAACCACACGGAAGTGTGTAAGTACAAACAAACGATTCCAAATGCAAAATCATCCATTTGTTCGAAAATGGAGATCCTCCTGCAATTACAATTCAGTTGATTCGCATTTCATCATTGTTTGGAGTATTGTTTAAGTATTATTTATAAGTCCAAGCAAAAAAAATCATTGAACTATTTAACCCTTTGCACTCGAGTGTCGACTCTACGGCGCCATTAAAAGCTACTATATCGCATTACAAAATAATTTTAACATTATCAAATCGGTTTGTATATAAAATCTGTTTTTTCTGTAACTGTTGCGTGAGCCGCAAAATGCAGTTTCATACGTACAAAGTGCATTAAGCTATATAAAATGGAAATACTATGGGTCGAAGAGACTATTTTGAATTTCGAGTTAAAATGTCTCCGACTGCGAAGGGTTAAATAACATCAGTGTTGAAGATTTTATGGTCTAAGCTCACACTGGAAGAAAGAAGAAATATGCAGTGGTATTATATGTTAAATAGTTCAATGATTTGCTTTGGAATTTTAACAAAGTAATGTTTTTAATCATTGAGAAAGTCTTCATCCGCGATGGATTAATAACCGCGTGATTAAAACCGAGTTCTAATTGCTGGAAAGTTCTAAACCAACACAAGAAGGGAACACAGATTTGACTGGATCGTTGAAAATTGTTTTTGTTTCAGTGGGACGCACGGGTATATGGCGCCAGAAGTACTCTTGAAAGGAGTCACCTACGATTCCAGTGCAGACTGGTTCTCGTTTGGCTGCATGTTGTACAAATTGTTAAAAGGACACAGTCCATATAGGCATCATAAAATGAGAGGGAAACACGAGATAGATCATATGACGCTAACTATGGTGCGTGGTTCGTGCTCATTGTTCCACATATTCCCGTCGTTTTTATACGCGTACCATGTTTTATATTTGTGTATATAGTCTTTGTAAAAAAAAAACAGGCATGATGTAACATGAAATTATTAATAGAATTTACAAGCTACAATAATATTTAACTCCATTGTAGCCGCAATATTTTTCTAGGTCATTTTATTTAGTAATTATCAGCGATCTTTATTTTCCCCTATATTCTGTATCTTTACAAAAATTGAATAAGGAACCTACTTGTTCCCTTGTTTGCAATTAGAGTCTAAATGTTATGAATAAAAACTGAATCAGCAGGTATTCTACTATTCACATAACTCAAATAATGTTTAATAATATATCTCTTGTATAAATTTCTATTATCACTTCAAACATATCTATATGTCACTTCATACAGAGTGCTTTGTCTAAAATAAGCCATTTATTTATCTTCTTTGTTCTGAAAGAAACGTTAGAAAATGACGCTCACAAATGACAAAGTGTACGTAGAAGATATATATATAATGACGTGACTTGTGTGTAGATTATACAGCTTGTATACGAATACATATCTTTTACTTTTCGCGTTTGATTGATTCCCATCGTACTAACGGGCTAAAATCATTTCAGAAGGTTGAGCTACCAGAAACATTTTCGAAAGAGCTCCGATCGCTGCTGGAAGGTTTGCTGGAGCGAGACGTCAACAAGAGGATCGGTTGCCGCGGCGGAGGAGCGGACGAGTTAAAAGAACATCCGTTTTTCGCTGGCATCGACTGGCAACAAGTTTATCTTCAGAAATACACGCCGCCACTTATACCGCCGCGAGGCGAAGTGAACGCCGCCGACGCCTTTGATATCGGTTCCTTTGATGAAGAGGACACGAAGGGTATCAAATTAACAGAAGCAGATCAAGAACTTTACAAAGATTTTCCTTTAGTAATCTCTGAAAGATGGCAGGCCGAAGTTGCCGAGACTGTGTTCGAAACAGTCAACGTCGAAACGGATAAGGTACCGATTGTTCATCACAATAAAATCGGAAGTTCTCTGTCATACCATACCGTTCACTCTTTCTCTTCTTCTTTACTATTGCAGATAGAAAGTAAAAAGAAATCGAAACAGAAACAGAGGTTTGACACCGATGAAAAAGGTGAAGAACAGTATTCTTTGTTGATAATGTTTTTATAATTTCAGTAAATTGTAATTTTAGTTGTTTGTTACAGGCTCGGATTGCATTTTACAAGGTTACATCAAGAAATTGGGAGGTCCCTTCGCCAGTGCGTGGCTGACACGCTACGCGAAACTGTACCCCAATCGATTAGAATTGTATCCTGAATCCACGGTAAAACCAGAACTCGTTTTTCTTGATCAGGTAAACTAGTCAAAATTCGCATCATCCCCTATAATGAAGATTGTCGAGCTTTTTAAAGAATACAATTTTATCCTATCTTACAAAATTTTGTGTAGCATTAAAGGAATTTCAATTTTTAGGTAGAAGAAGTTAGCGCGGATCTTCAACACGTAAAAGGAGAACAGTGTATCATCGTCCGTAAAAAGGATGTAAAAATAGTGCTCACAAATCCCGTAAGTAATATATTTAAAGCATACCCTATAACAAAGGCAGAAATTGGACAAATCTATGTTATGCTTAGATAATGTTCTTTAACATGTTAAACGCGGCATCAGCCCCCTAGGGCTGACAGTGGAATTTCCGTTTAGGCGGCATCAGTCCTCTTGGGCTGACAGTGTACTTTTCCTTTGGGCGGCGTTAGTTCCCAGAGAGTAACAGCAAATCTATCGTTTGGACTGCATCAACGTATGGAATCAGCGATATCAAGGTTAAAAGATAAGCCGGCCTGCCGCCTTAACGGAAAGTCGTTCGACTCGGCGCTTAACATGTTGATAGTACAATCGATGTAGTAGTAATTTCAAAAGCAAACGTTTCAAAGTTCTATATATTTTCAAATCTCATTCGTATAAATCTACATACAGTGACTCGCATTAATATTCGGACACGATATTGTTAGAAGAATTAATGCTCCTTTTTATTGTCTATGATAGTATTATTGAATCAATTGTTTTCTCATATAATAAAGCACTTCTTAAAATAAGTATAAACATAAATTTTGTTTATTTATTGTAGTAGAAGTGTAATAGTGTGGGGTTATATCTCGTCCGTAGGTATAGATGAACTAGTTTTTATCGATGGTCCTATGGACAAAATGAAGTATTTGGACATTCTTTTAAAAAAATTTAATTACGTGCGTTTAAGTGCTATAAATATGGGTATGCGTACAGTTTTAAGTTTTATCAGGACGATGATCCTAAACACATGGCCAGAGTTGTACAGAAATATTTATTATACAATTGTCCAAAAGTACTGAATCCTCCTCCTCAATCGCCTGATTTAAATCCAATTGAAAATTTATGGGATCAATTGGACCGCAAAATTCGTACAACACCTACAAGGACAACAACAGAGATAAAACAACGAATGTTAGACGTAATAAAACAAAAGGGTCAACCGACAAAATGTTAATATTATGATAACATGATTAAAAAGATTTTCATTTTATATAAAATCAATGTAATTCATTCACTGTCCGAATATTTTTGCGACGTTAAATTTTGTCACAATCTTGTTTATCGCTTATTATACAAAAGAACATGTGCAATAAATAAACAAAATTTATGTTTCTACTTACTTTAAGAAGTGCTTTATTATATGAGAATTGATTAAATAATACTATCATAAACAATAAAAAGGAGCAATAATTCTTCTAACAATATCGTGTCCGAACATTAATGCGAGTCACTGTACATGTATCTGATAATTAAGAATATTAACACTAAACCTACCGAGCTCTGAAAGTGACTAATATGTACTGATTTATAAGAATGAGAAAATTAAATTTATTTAGTCTCTTCGCCATTCTTCAAACTAGCCTTTGTTAGCGGGTCGGTACAGTAAACGCCGAATTTTTATTCGTAATTACTCGTCGAATAATAAAGACATTTGGCTTGTTTGATCATGAGTCGCATTCTTTCAGGATGAAATCAGTTTAAAGGAGTGGGCGGTATCGTTAAGGTCCGCGCATAAGTATTCCATGGAAATGTTGGGCAACATGGCGAAGAAGGCTGGCAAAATCTACGGGACGAACGGTAACTAGCCCAATGCTAATACCTGTGTGCCGTTGTCATACTCCAGCCCCACTGCCTACCAGCAGCAACAACAACTTTTTTTATACTGAGAAACAACACGGGAGACCATTGATGAATGTCCAACAAGGGTGATATGGCAATCGGGTTGCGATTTTCCACAACCGCGAACCGAACATAATCTAGGTCTCCGAAACAGCTCCAAAGAAACTCCCTTTGAACGGCGGGTAGCGTCGCGCTGTATAGAGACTCTAGAAAGTAGTGTCGTACGAATCGTCACGTCGTTATATTTGTACGTTAGTTGTATGTGCAATGTGACGTAGGAATTAGCAATTGATCAGTGCCCATCAGTATACACACCCACCAATTCGAAATTCGCACGAAAAACACCGTGTGCACGCGTAATCATACACAGACACTCGTATACGAACGAACAGACATACACGTACACACAGCGGACAATTGAACACGAAGGTGACACGAGAGACCGCAACCAGTAGTATATTATTGTTATATCGATACGAAGTATGCCCTGGACCCGATTATACTTCTCCACCGTTTTATACCGTTCGTTTACTTAATTTATTTACTAATGCAGGACGATTTTATATTGTGGTTACGTATTAGTAACATGCGCGCAAATTCGTTTATTTATTGTGTTGAGAGAAATGAGAGAGAGGGAGAGAACGTGAGAGCGAGAGAAAGAGCGCGCGCGCGAGAGAAATAGAGAGAGAAAAGGAGGGAAGAGCTCGAACAGTTTGTACATTGTCGGTAGCCAACCGAAGATGGTTATAATAATTGTATACGCTCGAGTAGGTACTGGCGAGTTCGCTCCGGCAATAAAATTGTGCGACGAACGCAGTTCTTGTATATATTTCTTTACTCCACTTGGTCCTGTATTCGAAAATCAGAAACCACCTGATATTTTATGATAAACAATCGTTCTCCTTGCTGCTTCTGCACGGCAACCATAGCGAAGCCTCGTTTACGTCTTCGAAACTTTTTAATGACGGCCATTGTAGTATCGCGCTACATTCTGTAACGGAAATATCACTCGAACCGTTTTTTACGACCCACTCGTTATCACTATACAGGATGTCGAGCATAAAATATTACAAACTGTTTTTAACAAGTTCCTCTTATCAGCTATTATTGACAATAAAAATTGTTATCGATATAATTCTGGTTTCCTTTCATCGTGCGTGTCATACGATGGCGAGAAATAATTAACAAGCACACGATGCTTCGATTAACTCTAATTAACTGGGCAAAACTCGTAACTTATTATTAGTAACCGGCTTCGACTCCGTTGTTTCATTTGTTCCGAATTTCCCTTAGGAACACAGCTAATTGGGGGTTCACATTGACGCATTTCAATCTTCTTTCCAAAGCCTCGAAGTCAACTTTTTCCAACCACGATGGAGGATCCACATCTTTATGCGGAAGGGGGCATAGCAATCGCTCCACCGCAGCACAAAAACCGCACCAGCTTCTGAAATCTAAGGACTCCTTGATCTCACCGATCACAGACTTCAGGTACGCCTCTTGTTCTTCGGTCACAGGCCTGCCGGTAATATCCTGAAGAGCTTCGCAAATGTCGTCGGGTAAAATGCATCTAGTTGTTCGCAGCGCTTCTTCTTGAAATTTGTTGAAAGCTCTGCCAAAAATCAACTTCCTTCCGGAAGAAACGAACACGTGCTTGCTGAGGTAATCCAGTACTGTTAAATCTGAAAGAAATCCAACTTTTCAGGAGGAACACAATAACTAGTCGGAGAGTGTTCAAGGCAACAAATACATGTATTTTCTTTTACTACCTGTGAATATACCCTATGTAGTATACATTAACTATTATACCAGATAAATGTATGTAACAGAGAAAATGTACATATGTGTAATAATATCGTTTTGTTTTCTTACTTTTGTCCGTATGCGTATTTTACTTTATTGACTGTTGCCTAATAAATAAATGTTAACAACTAGGTCTCAGTAGTTCAAAAACTCTGATTTTCAACTCTATTGCTGTATACAGTGTCGGAAACTTCCATGTACTCCTCAGAGTGAAAATATTTGAAGTTTCTAATGTAAAATCATTTGAAATTATTTCCTTTGAAGCTTTCTATGAGACAGTAAACAATACTTCACTACGAACGATCAAAAAATAAGAGAACAAAGCTTCTAATTGCACTTTCTATTCAGACATGTTCTAAAGCAAAGCTTAACGAAAATTGAAGTGTCTTTGGAATATGTTATACTTGCCACGCAGACTCTCGCTATCGAGGATTTCGAAGCGAGCCACTTGACGAGAAAATACTCTAGGTGTGTTCGCTACTTTAGAGTTCGACGATCCTTGGTATCCTCTAGCGCGTGGATAACTTTCGCCTTTAGCTCGTAGAGCTTCTTCCAGCGCGAGTCTCCTCTGGTGTTGCACAAAAACATTCAGTTACAGTTTCGCCCCCGTTTACAAAAACACCTTGTTTTTACACCGCTAATTATCATTGATTTATTGACTATATTAATCGTCGTACTCTGTTTCCTTAATATAATAAATAGAGTTTTCTAGAACGTTCCACGAGTTATGTCGCTCACCTTAAGTGAAAATTCTGCTTCCACTTTATCCCGATCCAGTTCGCGAAATAAGTGTTTCAAAATATCTGCATCGATGAAACTAACGGGCATTGTAGAAGGTCCGCTGGCCATTGCGCTGATTTTTTTTGGTGTAGACGGATTTTCTGGGTCGTCGTTTGTTGTATGAACTCTGCAAAAGAAATGAAAAGAAAAACTTTAACAAAAAATGCTGGTGAAATTAGTTTCTAAAGTTTAACCAGCAAGGAACAGTTGTTGTTTAATATAATAAAATTCAATGATTTAAATTGATATTGTATTAATACTTAATTTGTATAGAGCATATACCTATATAATTCATGAGTCTCTATTCTGAAGGAATATTTCCAACCAAAGCATCCAACTATTCCCTGACAATTGTAAATATTATTGAATAATATTTCTTCAACTAGACGTACTTCAAAAGCTGTCCAAAATGCACTTAATATTGAAAGAAGTATTGAAGATTGATAATAATAAAAAGTATTGAAAAAGTAACCAGACTGCATAAATATTTGTAAATTATTTTCGTGAATTGAAGGTAATTCAACAGTATCCTTATACCTTTTAAATGTTGTTACTGTCTTGTATTTGATGTATCCATTTTTGTTATAAATTCATAAAATCAGCAAATTAGTAAAAACCACTAAAAGCACAGCGTGTGCAGCAAAATAAGAGAAACTGCTCTTGATGATTAAACTTCGTTAACCACGTAGAAATGAAATATTCTTTTATACTAACGAGGTTCTTCGAGAACCGTCTCCTATATGAGATATTTGAGTTTCCATTGGCTCTAGCAGGTCATGGACTTCTGTGTGTTGTCTATAAGCTGAACCACAACGGTTCTTCCCTTTTCGCAAGCGTTTCCCTCGTCGTCGAATGACTGCAAGCTCCTTGTTCGCTCTTCCTGGACTATCTTCTTCTACAACTCTACCGGAACTCTTAGCAGCACACACACAAGTAGAAGTATTTACATTGAATACTGTAGAACCTCGATTATCCTCTAATATTGATAGAATTTTCTATTTTCCAAATACGTCTCACATGTAATCTGCTCAATCTAAGCCAATCAATATACAAAATGATTTGCTATACAAATTAATAAAAATGAGATCTGACATTGTGACTCCGTAACTGTGCTATTATACGAACTTTCATGTTACTCTGTTTAACCCGAATAATCGAGGCTCCACTGTAATATGTAAGTACATACTGAAAGTTCTTATTGAATGTTCATTGGTGTTTTTTATATCGCAAAAATGGTCTTTCAATTCTTATGTTGCACAGATCCCTTGCTTTCTTGTCACAGATGTTCGTGAGCTTTTGGAAAATTGGCATAACGAGTCTTAATAGCTACTCCATTGTGTATGAAAAATATACACTTTTCTCAAGAGTTATTACTGGAACTGAGAATAAAGATTTGAAATATATAGAGCTTGACTTGAAAAGAAATTTTACCGGTTCGTAATTGTCTTCGCACGGACTCGGCGGTGGCGCATCTGCTGATGGCTTAGGCGAACGCGATCGATGTCGAAGAGGTGATTTTGGTACAACTATTTTAGCTTTACGAGGAGTTGGAGGCGGCTCTAGAGTCAGAGCATGCCAAGTAAAGGTTTCGTTTTCCTAAAAACATAGAAAGCGTTAAATGAATATTCCGTTGTAACTTATTGTTAGGATTATTATATCAGCAATCGCTGAAATGAGTAATTAATAGTTAGGCCGCTGATTTTCTAACAAAACCGAATGAATAAATTTTCTAACGTAAACGAACATTACAAACACAGATACATTTAATAATATTTTTAAAGATCCGAGGTCTAGTGATACAATACATGCAATCTATCTCATTTTATAAGGACGTAGTGTTTCAAGATACTCTGAAAGTTCATGTTAAATAACGCTAAATAACTCTACGTTCCGAATTACGACATGATTTTATGATTACTAAAGTATGATTATTTCAAAAACAAATTTAATAGCAAAAATCGAGAACAAAGTGGACATTTTTTTCTATGATAATATAAATGTGTTGAACACTATAGGCCATTCTTCTAGTCTTCCTTCTATTTTTGTCATGATTGCATAAAATTCATAGTCTAGTGATAGTACGCATATGCAGCGATTTCATAAAAACAAATTATTTCAAGACACTCCGAAAATTCAATTAATCCGCAAGTGTTGAATGAGAAGAACATAAGACTTTGACCACTAAAAAATGTTTCCTACAATAATACCTATTGATAAATTAAACGCAACGTTCTTCTAATCTTTCTACAATTTCAATTGGCATCTACTCATTTCTACCATAGTTATATAAAATTTGCAGTCCAGTGATAACACACAAATCTACCCCAATTTATAAGAACGTAATTCAAATTATCCACAAATGTTAAATGAAAATAATACAAGACTTCGATCGCTACCTTAATTACTAAACTGAGAATCCTTGCACGAAATAAATATTGAGAATCGATGCAATGGACGCAATAAATCGTTCTTCTAGTTTTTCTACTATCACACTGCATTTACCGGCGGTCTATTAATAGGCTTTTCAATGATTGTGCTATCTGTAAAGAAGCTTAATAACATTCTCTCAAATAACGATTTCAGAAGAAGCTGTTCCACAATATTAATCTACATAATTTGTTGAATCACGAAACGTTAACCCCTTGCATTACAACTTGTTCCACAGACGCGTCAATTAGCACATCTTTGTCGACAATAAATTTCTACAAGAGAAAAAGAGTTTCTATTCACTGCGTATCTGTATCAATTGTAATGGCCAAATTTTGAAAACGGAAAGATTGAGTTTTATTTCCATTTAACACGTTCCGTGCCATGTGTACTATACCAACGGTACATATTAAACTTTCCATTAACATACGGATGGTACACGCTCACATATTTATTATATTTCATATGCTGAAAAAATATCTTTTACAATAAGTTCAAGACTGAAGAATATATCTCCATCAAAAGAATTGAGCATTATAGAAACTACAGTATAGACAAAGCAAGTAAGCTTGCTTAATTGTTATATCTACAATAATTAGTAATTACTAGACTGCGAATTTTATGCATTTATGGGTAAAATCGGTAGATAAAATATCAAATTGTGAAGACATAACAAGAATTCAATTACGCTATCTTCAAGTTAACAGAATTATTAGAACAGACAATTTATTATTACTTCCCTTAATTTTTGTTCCTTAATTTATTATTACTTCATTTGTTTCATTTTTTTTATTATTATTTTATCTTGCAAGCGACGTAGGAAATTTTTATGAATTTGTTGTATGTGTGATGCATCAATCTTTAGCGGAAATATCGAATTGCCTGAATGAAAATACATACATAATTATGTTCGGAATTTTCATAACGAATCCGACACGTTGTTACACTGCATGAGGTTAAATTACATCTACTCATCTCTCGTAATTGCATAAAGTTCGCAGTCAGCTAACCATCTGCCTCTTGGAGTTCGCCCTGAGATCCAAGATCAGCGTGGTGCGTTCTTGGGGATTACAGGTTGCCGGTATGTCATCGTGCAGTCTATTCGACAGCGCGGGACCACTGGCGAGCGTGGGCGCAGGTGTTAACGGTCTGGAATCCGTTTCCGTATATTTGCGAAATAGTTCCTCTGGTACCGTGGCGGTGTCCACGTTAATTGCTTTCATATTTTCGGCCGGTCCAACCGTGTCTGCGGCGCCGCCAGCTGCTGCTGCCGCTGCTGCTACACTTGCTCTGATCATCTCCATCTCTTCTGGCAGCAGAAGAGCCTTTCCCTCCGTCGCCTGAGAAGCACGTGCACTGTCAGACTATTCTAATTGAACACCGTTAACGTAAATTTGCGAAGTGGTTAGCTAATTTTCTATTTCTGGTCGATGATATACTACAATAACTCGTGCACCTTGCATTATATGCTCGTAATTGAACTGAGTCAGAGATCGAAGACGGTTTGAAATTGTACGAGTATGTTTATGACACGCGCGAATCGGGAGAGAGAGAGAGAGAATATGCTTTCTCTTAACACTTAACGGACGGGCCACGTAAATTTATGTTTTTCTATTCTGACTTCCTAGGACAGGCCACGTGGATTTATGTTTTTGCTTGAATTTTTGTTACTAATTCATTCATACTTTATTAATATTTGATTAATGCTAGACATGTGAATAAATAACTTCGTAAAATTTTATCAAAATTTTATCAAATTGATTTAATAAAACTGCAACACTTCGATACCATACCAAAACCATGTATATCTAACTTTCTTGAAAAATACTCGGAAATCGAGAAAGACGGAGAAAAAGCAAGAAACGATTTTAANAATAACTCGTGCACCTTGCATTATATGCTCGTAATTGAACTGAGTCAGAGATCGAAGACGGTTTGAAATTGTACGAGTATGTTTATGACACGCGCGAATCGGGAGAGAGAGAGAGAGAATATGCTTTCTCTTAACACTTAACGGACGGGCCACGTAAATTTATGTTTTTCTATTCTGACTTCCTAGGACAGGCCACGTGGATTTATGTTTTTGCTTGAATTTTTGTTACTAATTCATTCATACTTTATTAATATTTGATTAATGCTAGACATGTGAATAAATAACTTCGTAAAATTTTATCAAAAATAGTGCTGGTTTAATAAAACTGCAACGCACACGAGGAAACAGATGATGAAGTCGAAATAAAAGAGATGGTAGAAATAAATACAGTACAGAAGTTAATGAACGACGGCACGAGTTTAATAAATATTAGAGGTGTTCGAAATGTTAAAAATATATTTATGACTAGACTGCGGATTTTTATACGAAATAAGTTGAAAACCAGATGATACAGTCTTTCCCCTTTTAATAATTTTAATGAGTTGTATATAATATAAAAATATTCTCAAATTCTTCTAGTTTCTTTACAATTTCGTTTCTGATCTAGCCATTCTTGTAAAAAAGAAAATGCATAAAATCCGTTGTATATTTATGACACACGCGAATTGATTCTCCTTAGGGGAATAATAAACATCTACGAAGAAGAAATAAACGGTACAAAATTCATCAACAACAGTCCAAGAAATATTAGAGTTGTATAAAATTTGGAGATTATGTTTATCGCCGCGCGTGTCGAATGTGCTTTGTGGGCAACAATAGACGTCTAGTAATACGAGAAAGTAGAAAAAGAAGGCGCGAGATGAAAGGGATGGAGGAAATAAACAGTACGAAGTTCGGTTTAATAAATATTATATCCGTTGAGCCAGGTAAGCGCAGAAACGCGAAGCGATGTGCTAGGGTAGAGTGAACTGAAGAAGGAAATAATTACATTAAGCAAAAAGGATGAAATGGAGAGAAGGGAGAGATAGATGAGAAGTTAGAGATAGTAGAGAGGAAGTTGGGAGCATTGGAGCTGAAGAGAAGAATGGAAGGAGACGTAGGAAAGCATTCATTATTGTATCACACAAAGACAGTGTGTACAGTGTTAAAGTGAGACCTCTTACCCATGAATCCTTAGCTCGTCGAAGGACCTCTTTGGCTTCGCAGTCAGCCGGATGATTACATAGTACAGAACAGCCATAAGGGTAAGGATTAAAGAGACCGGAAAATGGTCGAAGTAGAATAGGCGCGGGTCTGGTAGTGCCCGAAAGTTCTATACGCTGAAATATAAAGCACTTTGAACATTTTGATCGTTTAAGGAGGTTAGTGTTGTGTGATAATCTAACTTAAGGTTAGTTAGTGTGAACTTTTGGAAAATTCGATTTTTTTGCATATCCTCGAAGAATACAGGGTGTCCCAAAATTATTGTACAAGCGGGAAATGTGAGCGGTTCCTGAGGTCATTTGAAGTAACTTTTCCTTAGCGAGAATGCAATCCACGGCTTCGTTTGCGAGTTATTAACGAAAAACAGTGACCAATGAGAGGCGATTTTGGCTCGGCTGCCTCGCACCAGCCGACTTCGCCTCTCATTGGTCACTGTGTTTCGTTAATAAGTCGCAACCATTCTTTTAGAACGGTTTCTATGATATGATATGATTTCTTACTTAACCAATTAACTCAAAATTCCTAACTACTCATTTAGTACATGACTAGAATCAACTAAAAATTTTTATTTTCTTCAATTTTGTTGGGCCTCCGGAGCTTAATAAAACATGCAAAGATCGATAATCGAATTTCAGACTATCGTCACTTTTTTAATTGCCGACTTTTTTCCTTTATTCTAGTACCTGCTATAGCCAAATTCATACTAATTACGGAATTTCCAGCGACTATGTTTGAGAATATGCGGTGCCACTAATTTTAACGTTTTTTTTTTGTTTAAAAAGATTTTAAAACGTCGTCGAAACACGTACAAATAAACCTTGTCAAATTTGACTGCCAAGGGTATAATAATTTCGTTGCAAAAAATTCCCTAACAAAGTTAAAAACACACGCACTTCACGCCATAATACCTCCTTAAAGTAAACACCTTTCTATGATCTGCAGTAAATCATGTTAGTGTGTACTTCGAGCGATGTATCTAAAATACCTGAAGTTTAGGGCGATCTATCGGTCGGATACGGGCTTCCATTAATCCAGTTGCACTTGTCATTTTCGCCATTTTTCCGTGAAAAATTGTTGTCACTGCACCGCGTGTCCTGCAAAGTGCTATCACCTCAAACAAATCAATTGTGAATCTCCTTGGAGCCGCGTTGCTGCGCATATGTGATTGGTCGATATAGCATTTCACAACGGTGTATAGAATTAATTCTTCCTTTCGATCCAGAGGTATAAACGTACTGTCTTAATTTTAATTATCTAGCAGCTAGTTTAATTAAATAACTGTTTGTATTAGCTCCAATAAGAGGATTAATTATTTAGGTACAGATTTATTTGAAAAAATTCTTGCGTTTGAAGCGGATTTAATTTGCTGATGCACGGGATAGTATATAAAAGCAGTAATTTTTGTGTGAGAATTCATTTATTAGCAGCTAGTTTAAATAAATAACTGTTTGAATTAGCTCCAATAAGAGGATTAATTATTTAGGTACAGATTTATTTGAAAAAATTCTTGCGTTTGAAACGGATTTAATTTGCTGATGCACAGGATAGTATATAAAAGCAGTAATTTTTGTGTGAGAATTCATTTATTAGCAGCTAGTTTAAATAAATAACTGTTTGAATTAGCTCCAATAAGAGGATTAATTATTTAGGTACAGATTTATTTGAAAAAATTCTTGCGTTTGGAGCGGATTTAATTTGTTGATGCACAGGATAGTATATAAAAGCAGTAATTTTTGTGTGAGAATTCATTTATTAGCAGCTAGTTTAAATAAATAACTGTTTGTATTAGCTCCAATAAGAGAATTAATCATTTAGGTACAGATTTATTTGAAAAAATTCTTGCGTTTGGATCGAATTTAATTTGCTGATGCACAGGATAGTATACATATAAAAGCAGTAATTTTCGTGTGAGAATTCATTTATTTGAGCGATATAATACGCATAGTAATTAGAAGTTTGGATGACGAGTCCGACTCGTAACTTAGAAAAAACAAGTGTATGACGAGTCTCAATCGTCAAATGTACCCAAGGAGTTAACCCTTTGCACTCAAATGGTGACTGTGGAGAGACCACTAAAATTTGTTGTATCACGCTTTAAGATATAACTTTTATATTAACGAAATTTAGATTTAAAAAATTGTTAAGAATGTAACTGATGGGCGAGTGTCAATTTCATATATGCATAGAATTCATTTTGTCGTATTAAATAGAAATACTGTAAGTTAAAAAAATGATTTTATATTTTAGAGTTAAAATAGCTTCGAGTGCAGAGGGTTAATATTAACCCTTGCGGGGATGAAAATTGTTTGAAATAATAAGAAGAATTTCTTCAGAAAGTTAGATTGTGCGAAGACTTAAATAATGGGAAAAATGAACAATCTTTTTACAATGTACCTACATAAACAAATCGTATGCTCGCAACTATTGATGTAAGATGTGGAGTCCCGATATCAATTAAAGAAAATTGCTACGTAACGATTTGAATGGATCTTATACGGTTGCTAGAAAATCACCCAAAGCAACGGCCATCCAAAAACGAAGAAAAAAGAGGTGTCGAAACAATTTACTTGTTCTTGAAACAAATGATTTCGGTACCATCACATATGTTTCACTCGACAGATCGATTTTTTGTTATAAATATCGGTGTATATCTAAACGCATTAACAAAATATTTCCAATGTTCCGCGATTTCCATTTCACGCGAAATGATTAAACAATCCAGGAATGTAATTCGAAACGTGTGCGACGTTTAGTCGATAATCGAGTAGGCCAGTATGGTCGTGGAATCCCTAATGAAGACATTTTTGGCAAGGACTAACAGCGTCAATCGGTAATGAGAATCCGACTTAATTATTAATGGTTGGCTGGACTTCTCCACCGAACCGTTCGACGAAGAGAGTGAACGGTATTAACGAGGGCGAGGAGCATGGAACAGTGGTAAATTTCCGGTGATATGCAACAACGTGAGCGTTACAGAATTATTGTTTCCCACCCTGAGGCTGTTCATGCACCGTAGACCCCTACGTGTGACTAGTAATTAGCAGGTCGTTGCTAAATGCGGGGAGCGGCAGCATTTGGAAAACGTAGCTGCGTGTGTTCGACACACATGGATGTCAATGCCACTATGCTCAATCGCCTAGGTTCCTTGACAACGAACTCGGTTCTATTTTCGATATCGTCATCTTGGTAACTTAAACCATAGCGTTAAATGAATTGATTAGTATCACAGTGGAGTGAGAGCCGTATTTTCGAAAATATCGACGCAAAATGCGAACCTGTACGGGTCAAAATGTTTTAAGAAGACAAGTGAAATAAATTATAAAGTTAGCACGAATCAACATAACTCTAAATTATTTTAACAATAAATTTGGTCAGAAAAAACGATGCACATTTTAATGAAGCAATAACACTCCGTGTTTTTCACGACGAGAAAAATGTGACTAACGTCGCTATGATCCTAATCCGCTTAAATGCGACAAACATTTCCTAAATTCAAACAATTTAATCCATGAAATCTGCACTGAAAAGAAAGAAAACAAATGGTTGCCTCACTCGAAACTTTTTAATGAAACTTTTAATAATTTTTGCCCATCGTTTTTGTCTTCTACGAGCATACAATTATTAAATAATCAAAATTATAGTAAATATTCACTTGAAAGAGTCAATCCTGATTTTTACATGCTTGAAATATGTTGTCGGGGACATCATTTTTAACCATTTTGATTGCCTTAATTTTTGAGATATTCGCGAGTAACCCGGACCTAAACTATACTTTCAACCAGACTGTGGATCTTTGAGCATATGTATGTATTATATATGAGAGAAGTGGCAATGCGATGCGCAAAATAGTAAATGCATCTGTGGGAGTATTTGTGCAGAGTTGCCACTGGACCAGACTATGATAAAATAATAATGCATATAATATAATAATGCATAAATATGTGATATACATGATAAAATAATAATGCAGAAGATATTTACGGAAAGGTCATTATAAAAACGTGGATTAGATCTTTAAGTTCACGCTCCATGACTTGTTCAATACTTCGAACGTGGCTCGAATCCGTCCAGACCTTCTGCCAAAGCCACGTGCTGCGGGCTCTCGAACTTCGAGCCGTCGCCTCTCATTGGTCACTGTTTCTCGTCAATAACTCGTAAACAAAGCCGAGGATCGCGTTTTCGCTAAGGAAAAAGTTGCTTCAAATGACCTCAGGAACCCTTCATTTCTCGGAAATACGATAATTTTGGGACACTCTGTATATATATATGTTTTTTTATATTTATTTATATATATATTTGTATTACAATATTACGTAATTCGTGTTATACTAATGAAATAAAAAAGAGAAAAATTGAGATTATAAATATCTTAAAGGGTTTTAAAACAACTTCGCTGGGCATACAAAAATTTTGTCTTCATAACGTCTAGACACTGTTTTCTTGATACTCGCTTTTGTCATTCTGGCCCTTCCTGCATCGAAGGGTTAAATTGTTTAACAACATCCGTCGTTACTCGTGCTCGAAGCCAGAAGCGGTCGAGTCTGGTTGCGGCAGCAGAATTCTCGATTCCGCTTCGCGGCGCAACAAATGCAAATGAAACTTTCTTCCTCGCAGACGCGTGTCCTGGCATTACTCGTGCCAAGGTCATTGATTCCTCGAGTAGTTCCGGCTTAGTATCTGGGCCAGGTTAACCGATCCAAGAGAGTTGCCAGCATCGACCGGAACACCATCGCCAACGATGCGCCGTCAACACGTTTCGATACGAGTGTATGGCCTGTCCGATAACTAGACGACCGGACACAATCAAGCAATCGACAACGCGTTCCCTGACGCGGACACAATCGCGCTTTCCTATTGGTTTCAAAATCGTCGTCTGGGTATCGTGTTGCACAGCGGTCCATTTTCTGACAAAGCTGGTCAAACAGAAATTTTTCAAATATATTGTAAACAGCAAAAAAAGCTGTTATACGCGTATCAGAGCAACGAATGCCCTTTGAGATTTTCAGATATCGTTGCCTGATTACTGAGATATACATATACAGTGGACATAGAAATTATTCGTACCTACAAAATGTATTTTTTAAGGTTTCGTTATGGGCTCACATAGAATAGTTGAGGAAACAGCATTGTTTAATACTTTTACCATACCAGCATTTGTTGCAATTTTGCAATCTTTCCAAACAATTTTTTAACTAACTTAACTAATCCCTCTAAGATCCCACTTTTGCTCGTTTCTGCAAGGTTTTAAGGTATTTAAGTTTCAAATGCCAAGTATTGTCCAATAACGCTCTCTGTGAACAACGATAAGGATGTTGCGCATCTTAATTTTAATACTTAATTAATACTGTGCAGAGTTTTTGATATTTAATATATATTTGATATTTAACATATTATTTATATATTTTTATATATACTTTGCTAATTGCTAACATTATTGATTTTTATTGTGAAAATTATTGCTATTAATCGTGAAGATCATTAATTATTCCGAAAAGTGGGTAAGAAATCAACACTTATGCCAGTGATGACTGATTTTCAATTTTGAATTTTACATTCTTGATAACATATTCGAATTCAGCAACCCCAAGTACATAAGCGCATCGATTTCACAAAAATCATCTGAAGTTATCAATTTTGACCTACTTTTTGGAAAAATGGACCACTATGTGTCGTGACTGTACATTTTGCTCTGGATATCGTTAAACTTTGAACATTACAAATATCCTTACTAGTAGACCGAACTTCAGAGAGATCTGCTGTTTTCGACAGTAATTTGTGAAAATGATTTTTTGTATTAACCCTATGCGATTTCTTTCCCAACAATTTCTTCTGCCTTAATAATTACCCTTAAAGAACGAGAAAATTTTTGTTTGTCTTTATTCACTTTCGTTCTTAGATTTCGGTAACAAAAGTGTCAGATTTTGTTTCGATTCGGAAGAAGATAACATTCATATTTAGTAGATCATGCGTGACTCGTTTTTACAGTGCAAGGGATTCGGGATTGTTTTGTAAAGGATTGCTGTAATTGTAAACGATTTTAAACAAGTTTTTATCCTT